CCCCCCCCCCTCCCTAAAAAAAAAAAAAAAATTGGGGTGTAATGGAGGGCAAGGTAGGGGAATGTAATTCTTAAAATAAGAGAATATTACACAGACAGTTTTACCACTTACATCAAGATGAGTTTCAAAGGAATGAAATAACATGTAAGGTACTTATGTAAATTTACATATATTCTCTTACCTTCCTTTTACTTTATTAGATTTGTCAAACGGGTGAAATACGCTTCCTTTGATTGCCTTACTAATTTCCCAAACAAGTTTCACATATTCCCTTACCTTCCCTTAATTTATCCTATGTTCCCTTAACTTCCCTCCACTAGGTGCAAATCCAAACAAGCTAGGGTTCTTCATTGTACATGACCAAACCACCTTAGTCAATTGTCTCTCATTTTATCCTCAATAGGAACAACCTCTAATCCCTAGTGTATCCGGAAGGGAAAAATAGCACTAGCTCCTTGTTTAGAGTATCATGGGTTTGTCACTATTTTATTATTATTTATATCAACAAAAATGATGTGTTGAAATTTCGAAGGATCCTAATTGCAGAAATTTTATCACCAACACTCTTGTTGGTCTCAAATTCATGGGGAAATACATTTTTTATCAGAAAAACTTGTTGCTAATTGGGACTAGTTTTCAATTATGCAGCTGGGTATGAACTATTTACTTCAAGGATAATTGTATTCTTTCTTATGGATACTATCGTATCATCTACTGGAGTAAAAACTATTATATACAAATAGTTTTCCTCGTATTATTAGATATTTATGTTTTTAATCCTCTGTTAATTTCTTAAAAGACTGCTTTATTTGTTGTTTATTGTCAGAGAATGGAGGAAGCAGAATCAAGTTGGCGATCATCGAAAAACCACAGTACTCCTACTCCACGTCTTGCAATTCTTGCGAAGAGCATTGGTGATCTTGCAAACAAGGAGAAAGAGTTATTCAGCCCGATATTGAAAAAGTGGCACCCTCTAGCTGGCGGTGTTGCTGTCGCTACTCTTCATTCTTGTTATGGGAATGAACTAAAGCAGTTTATCTCAGGCCTTACAGAACTTACTGTTGATTCTGTCCAAGTACTGAAAGCTGCAGACAAGTTGGAGAAAGATCTTGTGCATATTGCTGTTGAAGAGTCTGTTGACAGTGAGGATGGTGGAAAGGCACTAATCCGTGAGATGCCTCCTTTCGAGGCTGAATCTTCCATTGCTGATCTTGTGAAGACGTGGATAAAGACAAGAGTGGATAGACTAAAGGAATGGATTGACAGGAACTTGCAACAAGAGGTATCTATCTTTCCTTTCTTTCTTTCTTCCTCATTATTTACTCCCAAGCGTAAGTTTTATGAATGATACGTTGTATCCAATTACCTTAATGTCATGATATATTGCCATGCTACTGTCTATGTCCTTTTATTTCGCTAGCAGATCGTGTTATATTTACACTGTTCTTTTGGAGATTGTTGATAGAATCAATTCATATGTGTGTAAGTCGATCTTTTTTTTTGGAGTAATTATGAAAGATGGTGACTTTTGTATCTAGCAATAATAAAAATTTTCCCCCTCCTTCAAATCAATTTGAAAAATGCATATAGTACAGCAAGCTATTTAAGGAACTAGCGTATAATGGATTAGGTTTATTTGAACACTATGTTATCCCCTCAATTTCATTTGCCTTGTTCTGGAAGTGCAATACGTATCCTTGTTCGTATACTTTTTCCTGAAAAGCTCTTGGTCATGTGTGATCATAAGCTCATAACTGTTTACTAGCTTTTGCGATGAGCCACTGATTGACTTGTGTCCTAAATGCTTTGAAAAGCATGCCAAGAGCCTAAATGCTAGACAGCTTCCAGGTTGTTTCCTTAAAAAAATCTTAAAAGCTGATTGTTATCAAGTGAAAAATTAAACTATTTGATAGTAAAAAATTTAGTGGTCTTTTCATTAAGAAAACTCATTCCTTTTCCTATTCTGTTGGTTCTTCCTCTGGTCTCCTTTTCTTCTCTGAACTTTCCCCTTCTTTTCATCCCATCTTGGCGCTTGAGGTGTTAACTCAAGTCATGCTGCCAAAATACTAGCAATAGGTCGCATAACCATAGTAGAGGTGCTGAGTTTTGTCTCAAGCAGGCAGAAACACTTCAGAACTTTGACCTTTGCTCTTGAGTCCTTGACCCAGTCTTATTATAGAATATGTCTTTATTAATACGTCAGGTATGTTCCTGATACATGTTTTGTAAGTTTTAGCTGATTGTCTTTGTTTTATAGGTTAATTATGATTGTTATCTGTTCGGAGATTACCTTGTGATTTATTGTCCTGTTTAAAATTTGAAGTCATGTTTTCAATCACGTATCATTTTAGTTTTTAAGGCATAAACCTGGTACTGGGACCATTACTTTTGGCAGGTTGAATTTTCTTTTTCTTTTTCCTTATTTACTTCTTAAACTTTCATGGAAGTGAAAGTGTAAAGCCTTACTGTCTAGTTATTGCAGCAACCTGGTTATAGAATTAGATGATAAAAGATATTGGCACTTGTCTAGTCGATATTTCACATAGCTTGATTCAACAAATCTCAAGCTACCATAATGAGTATGATCTGAGGAAAGTTGATGAGGCAAGACTATGTCCTCAGAGTTATGGAAAGAGACACTTCCCCATCTTGGTAGATTGCTGCCTTTAGCGAGGAAGGTTAACAGAAAGAGTGATCATGTCTTTGAATTGGCTGGAAAGAGAGATGTGATGTAAGTTTAGGATGGGATCTAATCTGTTAGGATTTTGTTTAGTTTGTGTAACTTGTTTATTTGTTGGGTTTAACTAGCAATAGGCTGGATTTAAGAAATTTGCTTCAGGGACCGTCTCTACTTTTTTTTACAATTGAAATTATGTAAAAGGTACAAGGCACTGATTCCCTACAGGCAACAAATGTCTACTGGGAAGCATTAGGAACCTTGTAATTTTCCAAAACGAGGAGAGTTTCTCCCATAATGTTCCCTAATTTGGAAAGTCATACCTCTTGCAATATCTTCTGATGGAAAAGCAGGGTGTTCTGCAAGTCACTGTTTTTGTGCCTTGCATCTCTGCAGAACATAGGATTTTGCATTTGCCAAAAGGTTCTCACTTGGCACTTGGCAAGGATCCCTACATCAATAAAACTGGGCAGGATTCCTATCCTTGGGCACCAGAGGAATCTCCTTTGAAATCCCAATTGAAGCCCAATCTAATTTCTGAATGGAGTTCAAATTGTCTTCCAACATTATTCCAAGTTGTCTCCGGTTTCCTGCACTAGGTGAAATGATTTACTCGTTAAATAAACTGATTAAGTGAAAGATAATCTTCTCTCTAGTTCGTTCTGTCAGGCCTTGAGTAGCCCATTGCCTGATCCGGCAGGTCAACCAACTGATTTTGTGGAATTCTTAGTCGTCGAACTTTGGGGATCATATGGGGGAAAATAGCAATTGGTAGCACCTGAGAATACATGATTCTCTAGGGTTTGCTGTATGACATGCTCGGATTAATTTGTGGTATATATATTCGTCGTACTAGTAGCATACATGACAATACTAGTTAGGTATATCTGTGCTTATTTTTTATTATCATACATGAAAGGCAAAGAAATATCATATTGCACATGCCAATCATAATGTTTCTAGTATCTTCTTTCTTATGGTTATCAGTGCATTTCAGAAGGTATCCATGTTAATGGGGAAATATAGTCCATATTTCACCTCCGAGTGACGAGAATGATGCTGATTATAATCTCTAATATTTCACTATGATTAACCCATCATATTTCCGTTAATGCTGGAGAGCAATTATTTAATGGTTATAACATGTTGCGAACAACATTTAAGGGCTTTCTCAGCATTCACTTCAATCACTTGTAGCACAAGCAATAGTAGATTTTAATGAGATTTTTCTGAACAATATGCAGGTTTGGAACCCAAGGGCAAACAAGGAGAATATTGCTCCCTCTGGAGTTGATATTCTAAGAGTAGTCGATGAAACTTTAGATGCATTCTTTCAGCTGCCAATTCCTATGCATCCAGCCTTGCTTCCGGACTTGCTGACCGGGCTTGATAGAAGCTTGCAGTACTATATATCTAAAGTGAAGTCAGGCTGTGGTAAGTTTGAAACTGTTTGCTTCAAAGTCTGAGGAATAAAAAATCTTTGAGCATCTCTGATAATTCTTTTATTTCAGGAACTCGGAACACCTTTATTCCTGCACTTCCAGCACTTACCAGATGTGAGACAAACTCAGGTTTATTCAAGAAGAAAGACAAATCTCAGAATTTGCAGAAAAGGAGATCACAGGTTGGAACAATGAATGGAGAAGCTTCTAACAGTTTGCCACAGCTATGTGTCCGTATGAATACACTCTATCATATACGAACCGAGTTGGACAACCTGGAGAAGAAAATAAAAACCTGTTTAAGGAATGTAGAATCAGCTCAAGCCGACATATCAAACGGGTTTGAGAACAAATTTGAGCTCTCCCTTGCTGCTTCTCACGAAGGAATTCAACAATTGTGTGAGGCAACAGCTTACAGGGTCATCTTCCGTGATCTAAGCCATGTATTATGGGATGGCTTATATGTTGGAGAAACTGCTTCTTCTCGAATATATCCTTTGCTGAAAGAGCTTGACCCTAACCTCGAGATGATATCAACAACAGTACATAATAGAGTACGTAATCGCGTGATAACAGCATTGATGAAAGCTTCCTTTGATGGGTTTTTGCTGGTGCTTTTGGCTGGTGGCCCATCTCGTTCGTTCACTCGTCAGGATTCTCAGATTTTAGAAGATGATTTCAAGGCTCTTAAAGATTTATACTTGGCTGATGGTGATGGGTTGCCAGAAGAACTGGTTGAGAAGGCTTCAACTCAAGTTAGAAACATTTTACCTCTTTTTCGAACCGATACAGAGAGCCTCGTTGACCGCTTCAAACGCTTGATTGTAGAGGCTCATGGTCCTGTAGCCAAATCTAGGTATCCTTTGCCTCCGACTTCAGGTCATTGGAGCCCTACTGAAGCAAATACAATTTTGCGTGTTCTCTGTTACAGGAACGACGATGCTGCTTCCAAATTCCTGAAGAAAACCTATGGACTTCCTAAAAAGCTTTAGCTTTTTGGGTTTTAGTGTATATTAATATGCAGTAAGTAGATCAGCTCATGGATGTTCCTTCAGAACTTGCATCAGTGTTATTTATCAAGGTTTGGACACAGACTACAGTAGGTGGATTACCATTTACATTATTCTTTTATACTAGTTGGTTCCTAAGCATTCTTTCAGTTAGATGAAGTGTAAAAGTTCTGGCTTTCTACATTTCCTCAACTTGCCTCTTTAACGACAGTCAATCTATGGGATGCAGAGAACTGAGTTGTGAATAATTTCCTTTACCAGCGAACCGCTATGTTTGTTATGTTGTGGGTTTCTGTTCAAATGTGGAGAGGTTATGTTGTTATACGGTGTCTATAATTTATTGAGTACCGGGTTATCAGTATTTTGATGTTTTTTTTTTTTAAATTCCCCCGTATGTAACATGGTTTTTGTGATTACTCTTATCTTGGTGTGTTTGGTGGTTGTAACCTGAAATATTTCTCCAATAATCAGAGTGCTGAATGTGAGAACGAGTTGGCTAGTGCAGTGACCAACATAGACTGCTGTAATGCGTAATTTCTTGCTTTTGTGGGAAACTCTGTGTTTGCACTATATAATGATGATGATGCGGTGGATATTGACAATGTTCTCCAGGATAGGTGAACTTGAGTATACTTGTATTATACCATTAATAGTTGGTGTATGAGAAAATTATTTGGTGTCGAGACTCGGAATTCTTTGACCTGTATTATCTCGATTCTGATTACTGAATGATTCAATGTTTTTAGTGGTTCTGCTTTTACTTCTCCCGTATGATTTCTTTTGAAACTGTTCACAAAAGACTTGATAAAATTTCATTTCTTGCATTAGGAAATATTTATGAGCATCTCATGATTTGCTTGAGCGATGGTGAATGTCAGCTTGAGCTATACAAAGCAGTGTCCGCTTCTCAAGCACTGAACTCTGAAGAAGATCTCAGGCGCTTATGCTTCATAATTGTATATAAAGATCACTTCAAGGACTAAACAATCTTTTGAAAACTAATTCAGATATTTAAAAATCTTAGGTTGAACCGAATTGGCTCGTTTTGGTTGCATATGCTATTTTCTCCTGCCTGTTATTACACAATCTTTTCATTCCTATTAATGCTAACTTCATTTTTATCGGGAACTCTTACTTTTATCACAACTAAGGGCTATGAAATTGTATTTGGGAAACCAATGTTCAAATCCCATAACGTTTAAAGATACTAATCATCTCGAGGTCGATAGACTAAACCGAGAGGAACATGATTTAAACCTGAAGCATCAAAAAGTAGATCGTTGCTTCTCAACTTACTCGATTCATGGTGGGCAACACGTCCCCTTACTTTGTTTAGAATCCCATCTTTGATCCTTCATTGAAAAATAACACCCAATGTTACCCAACCCACTGAAATTAAATATGTACGTATATCTCAAGTTTGATCCGTAAAGCCCTGAAGAGTAATCCATGAGACACCCTGGGGCAGCAGCTCTTGTGATTGTTTACATAATGGAAGCAAGAGCTCAACTTCTCCCGGAATCTACATTTGAGAATAATGGAAACAGGGAGATTGCATGTACAAAGAAAAAAAAGCAGAGACAGAAAATCATTATTGAACATGTAAGATGGAGATAATAATAAACGATTCTTAACTGCTCCTATATAACAGGCCTCATCAAATTACTGCAGAGGCATCAAAGTCAAACTAATTACTGTATAACTCATTTTTAGTAGCTTCACTTCATTTCTCTATAGCTTCTTCAAAATTTCATAACAAATGCCCCTTTGTAGATGTAAAGCTAACGTGGGGGACATAATATATTGTACATATATTCCAAAAAATCTTCGACAACATAATAGTTATTTTTGAACAGGCAAACTATGAGACGTCAGTTTTGATCCCCGGTCCTATTGGAGTCTCAAGCCCCCATATTTTAAACTAATGGGCTTCGTATGTGAGAATCGATTCACTGCCATGGATTTCTTTTTCTACTTCCATCTCTTTTTAGGCTGCCGGTAGAAGTTGCTTTGGAATTCTGCAGGAAAAAAGTGGAGTCAATAATGAATAAATCCTTAACAGATTCGAGGAAAGAGCTACTGAAATATTTGGTGTTGAACGTACTGATTTAGATTTCTTCAACTTCCCACGTATTCTATTCCTTTGAGGTTTCAACTTGTAGATTCGAACCATCCAGTGATGTGTTGTGAATACCTGGATCAAGGACATTGCAATGAACATGATAACACGAGACAAAGCTTCAACGTAACCTATAGGCTTAAGGCAACACTCACATATTGACTGAACGAGAATAAAAAATGTTTCAACAGAGGGGAAAAAACCTCACCTCCTCAAAATGGGTTAGCTTGAAATATTTCTTGCCTATTTCTGTCCTTCTCACTCTATCAAAACCTTTGCCATCTGTCTCAACGAACCTATGAGGGAGAAAATAAACAAATTAATACAGCAACAGTCCTGAAAATAGATATATACTCATGCAAAGATAAATAAAGCCGTACCTGTAATAGGAGAGCTTGTACATAAGGCAGTTCAGCATTGTTGGGGTTGCATGGGAGTCAATACGGTACTGGCCATCCCTCTAATAAATGAAGAAAGGGGAACATAAATAAAATAAAAGACACTTGAGCAAAAGCGAGGATGAAGGAAAATATATGCCCTTGAACAGGTGCAAGTACAGCAGAGATAAATTTATATCAAAATTAAATCCAAGCAAGGATGGTATATGTAAAGGTCTGTACACAAGGAGCTGGATAGTGCACGTAAGTGCATGCCTCGCGAGAATTATCTTTTGCAGCACAAGGAAGACCCAATTAATTTTAGCAAAAAAGAAGCTTCCTCAGAAAATGAATTACAACTCTTGATTGGAGAAACAAATGCCAGAATAATCAAGGTTGGCATTCATTAAATTGGTGTCAAGCAAAGTGAAAACTTACAAGATAGTCAGGTTCCTTGATGTGGGGAAATACACCACCTCCAATGCGAACCATCCACAAGAACTTATTAATATCATCACTTGGGTAGCCAACAAGACCTAATTATCAGAAAAAGGTCCTTAAGTGCTGGTCCAAATTAACTAGAAGATGCATAATAATTTATACTGAAGTACTCACCTCCAAAGACAACAAGGACATATTTCACATCCAATGAGTTGAAAATCTCCCAAGCTGCCTTCTCAGGAGAAGACATTGCTGTACCTACAGTGGCAATGTGGGTATTGTTCCAGGTATTATTATCAACTATGACAGTACGATTAGCCATTGCCGTTGTTTGATATCCATAGTCCCACCAAGATGCCACCTGCAGCACGTCTTGTTACTTTCAATCATTATGTTCAAGTAAATTTAGATCTAATATAGAGAAGATATTTTCCATGTCACATATATACTCTTGGACAAAGTAAGAGTTGTAGGTGAAAAAAAGCTCCTACGATCAAGATCACTTGTGTTAATTTGAAGGGAATACTTTATATAATATATAAACTGTGCAACAGAACAAGTAATGAAAAAAAATGCAAACAAAAGATGGTAGGAAATGCCCAAGATTGTACATCTTGTGCACTAAATATTCATTGCCCCATATCTGTTCTGTTGTATGAAGACACTAAATGGTGACAATACAATTATGTTTAGAGGATATCTGAATCCAGACCAACTCTTGAAACATGTCGATGATTATTTCAACCAAAGGCTCTGCAAGGCATGGTGAAAAATGTAGCTCAAGGAACCCAAACAAATTAAAATACAGACCAAATTGAATCAGGTACACAATTGCCAGGACTCAAAACTAAGTTCCCAAGTATGTATAAAGCAAATCCGAATTGGATAAGAATAATTCTAAAGGATATAAAAGAATTCAATCTTCTGTTGCTGGTAAAGAGACCCTTCGTCTTCATCAGTCAATAAAAGTACCTAACACAGTGACATAACTAATAGCAAACATTTAAGCTCCTATCTATACAGGAGAATTCTCAAATGATCAACAATAATACAGAACATTACCAAATAATTATAAACCTTACGAAGAAGCAATTACTTGTGGAAGATGCTCTAGCGGAACCAATTCTCAAAATCAAATTTTTTAGGACTATGGGGCCATTCTATGGGATGATTTGCAACTTTCAACACAAGCAAGATATTTGTTCCAATATGTTTAGTAATATCTTTTTCTATGGCATATATAGGCTATTTCAATCACTTGATGCATAAGCAATCAGTTTTTGAAACAACCTGATCTGATCGCTCATTCTTAAAACTAATTTTGCTTTAGTAGATCAAGAGGAATATTGAGGATCATCCACAGAATGGCCCACCTTAGGAGTTCTAATGAAGCTCATTTTTGCAAACTGGTAACGCAGGAGCATTTCATTCTTAATATTGCAATAACAACTTAGCATATTATACACATGTAAGAACACAAGGGTGTTGGAGTTCCCGTTCGTGTATAATAGCATTGATATGAGATTTTTAAAAGGTTCTCAGACAGCAGGAACAGTAATAGCATCATAATAAGTAACCATTAATACCCCAACCCAAAAGAAACAAACAAATAAATAACTCAAACATGTAAAAATATGGATCCAAAAACTAGAATGATTTCTTGTATGAAATAAACGCAACAATAGCACCTCAAGTAATTAATCTTAATCATTTAGAAGACAACATTATTTTTCACTATTTCAGTGATTCTCATGTGCAAACATTGAACAAAGAAGAGTAATCCACTTAAATTTTTTCAAAGAAAGAAGTTAGCTCTTCTTCTCTTCAAAACCATTAGCTATAGACTGTGGTAAGCTAGAAAAATAATACTGCTCTGGAAGGTATTACCATGAAAGGAATATAAAACAAAAGCTAAACTTAATCACCTAAAATTATAAGGTGACAAAAAGTTAAGTCAGCCATTAATAATTTGGAACCAAAAGTTAGTTTTGTATGTATAGTAAATACAGAGAGGATAGCACACCTTATCATCTACATCAGTATTATGACTTAACCACGAATAGGCTTCACGGAAATCATCAAATACATGCAATCCATCATGTGATTGAGATGTCAGAACAATGGAAGGAGCAGAATAAGCCTCTGCTGCTGCCCATACACAATGAACCTGCATAGGAATACATAGATAAACTTCAAAAATAATGCATCTAAGGTGAGTATATTGACCATGAAAAACTAAAGAAATTTAGTATGCTTAATTTCAGTGCAAAATGCCATCCTTATATCTTGTAGAATGAGCATATAACTTATGATATCTAGCATTGCCCTTCCTGCTATAGAAGCAGGTCTAAACGTCTAGAGCATTTCTGCGAGTGCCTCACTCGGTTTTAGGGCAAGCAGGCAAGTGTCGAGTGGACTTGGACCTAGTTAATCTAAAAATTTAAAGAACTGAAATTTCATAATTTATAAGTTAGGAACCAAGATGTGTGAATTATTCAATGCTATTCCCAATAGAAAATCTATTAAGTTTCACTTTCATTGAGACTATTAGCTTAGGGGTACGAAAGGTTCCTCCACAATTGCATAAGCTTAATTTGCATGACAAATAAAGTGAGATATTTTTTACGCATAATATTGGCATTCTAGGATTATTATGGCAACCCTCTCTCTTGGATATAGTTCTCTTTTCTGCTGATAATGATTGGAAGGTCTATGTTTCTAGTCTTAGAAAACATCTTCTTGTCGATAGACATGATTCTGAAACCGATTTAGGGGGTTGTTGTCAACGTGCCAGCAGGCAGTGAAAATTTTCCAATTCTATCACAGAGCCTGATGCTGTGTATCCCATTTTAAGAAGGTGAGGCTTCAATAATGAATTAATGATGAAGTCACCAATAAAGTCTACCTAGGTTATGATTCTCAGTGTTCTCATATAGTGCCATCATTCATACTATCAAAGATGATTAAGTAATTATTTTTATTTAATTATTTGTACTATTTTTTCAATGTTATTTCTCTGGAGCTCTACATATTTCTGTGGGTTGTGTTGCCAATATCCAATGTAGCAAGGTATAACCCAGCTATGCATAGCATCCTCAATAAAGAATCCATCTTTGATGTCTATAAACCCAATACAGAGCACCTACCAGAATGCAATTACTTTGATTCCAAAATCAACTGTAAAAGCATTTTTATTGGTAAGTAATATATATAGGGAAGCAGAGAAAACAAAGCGAGGAATCAACAAGAAATTCGACTAAGTGAACACCCTTGATCATTTGGGAATAGATGCCAAAAACGCAGACAGAACCAATAGAAAGAATCCTATATCATGTTATTCTCCAAATCTTTTAACTCAAGTATTACATTATTTTCTAATTTTTCCCCCTCTTTGAACTCAATAGCATGCAAACCTAGGCTTACCCTATTACAAATCTGCAATTAACAGATAAAGGTGGGTGGGATCCACCTGCATAGGACCTCATATGCATTCTGCATTCATGTATGTGCATATGTCAATATGCATGCATGTTAAGATGTGACTGCAGTAATTTGGTTCCACATTAGTTTGAAATGTTCCAAAATTAAGGGCCAAATTCTAATCTGCACAAACCCTATGCAGTTAGGCTCATGGCATTAGGTTTAAGATTCTAATACTTCTAAGCAAGAATTGTAAATAGAAAATTATACAGGCAAACAAAACCATTCATAACTTTGAGCAAGATTAAGGGCGTACCACATAGAAGCCCCCAAGTACGATGAGTAGAATAATAGCGACAGCAGATGCTTCTAGAGGCAAAACAAGAAGCCTTTTCTCGTTACGTGTCTTGGTAGGAACCTTATCTACAATCTCCTTCTCCTTTTCCTTATCCTTTCTCCGGTTCTTTTTTGATGGCCTATCTCTCGGGACATCTTCGGATTTATTAGCTGCAACTTGCTTATCCACCTTAACTACATCATTTTGTGCTACAGGGTTCTCGGCTTTAGTATCTCCTTCCTTAAAAGTCAAATGGTAATCAGGAAGGTTAAAAACAAAGTCACGATCAGTTTATGAGATCTAACTTGCTGCAGATCAACTAGAAGAAAACAATAACACACGCACTTACATTAGATATAGGATTTTCTACTAAATTAGGCAGCTGAAGTTTAATTGATCGAGTGAATACAGAAAAGGCTTCAGAAAGAGCAATGCCAGACATAATGCATGCAGCTGGAGCCAATACAAGCATGAGGCGCACCTGGTAAATCATTTAGAAGATATAAGGAGAAGAATCATAAATAAACAAGGAGCCCAAGCAGAACTGAATTCCTTACCATTACTCCAGAGAAATATACTGATGTTACAATATACAATATTACAAATGAACTGGCATCAGAAAGTGGTAAAAAGCATGCCTGCCAAGCACATAAAATTGAGCACTCAGTTACTATCAGCAGGCTAAACATAGAAATATCAACAAAAATGTCAGCAAAATAAAGGTCAACATGCAATTTTTTTGCAAGTCCTGTATGATACTTACAATGATACCAGCTGGAACCAAGAATGCTAACACGTTGATGTCCATGAAATAAGAGGGCCAAGTTGGTGGCTGATGTTCACTAACACTAGCAATGATGGGTATATACTTGCTTGCATATGTTCTGTTCACAGAAGAGAAGATGGCAGAGTTACTAGTTTATATCATTATCAAACAGAGCTGAAGAAACAATAGGAAAAAAAAACATGTTTCTTTTGAATTCAAAATGAAAAGATCAACATTTCTGCATAAGCAGAGAAGTGTATAAAAATGCATACGCATATACATACTCCAACCATTGTTGTGCTAAATTAAATTCTTAGCAGACTGGCAAGGAATTCTTGAGAGCCATAAGTTACCAATGAACAGAAGAAAAATATACATATGTTGGAGTCAACATATGCCTAATTTTTAACTTTTACATCACATTGTCACCAAACATTCAGAATTCCAAATGCTACAGCTGCAGTAACTATAACTATCTATTAATGGCTGTGTCATGCAGTACGTAGAAAAAGTCTTCAGGTAAATTAACATTGCGTCGAAGAAGAGGAGCTTACGGATCAAGAAGACTCAAGCTACGACCACTCCACCCTTTTGTTGGGCTGGAAGCTACTAATGCAACCAGAATAGCTAAAACTGCAAAACAAATAGCTCTGCACAGAAGATTTATATTAATTAGCAAGATAACTTCTAGAAAACATCGAGCAATCAAAGCACTTGGGCACAGGCCCAGAAGAAATTATACAACAGCCTCAGTCACAACTTAATTTCAGTTTCCAAGATAACTTTTCTGCCAACTCATGAAATAATGTTGCTAATACTCTTACATCACCATGCATTTACTAATTTCTAAAGATCTTTTCTTTTTATGTTGCGAGATAAAATATAAAAATACAATCTTACAGGAGTACAAACTTACGTTCCTAACGTCAAAACGAGTGTCATGGCCACTTTAAACATCTTTGGAGACAGAATCCCTTTGATATAATAAACAAGCGCAACCACATGAATAATAATGAAAACCTGTAAATTAAGCAGAAACTAACATAAGGAAAAGCATTTGGCCATAATAAACATGATATTCAGCTAGACATATATCTAGAACAAACGCAAAAAATGGCTGCAAGACAATTTTATCATTCTGAAACCAAATTTCCTTCCAGAAAATATATACGATATAGGTACAGAAGGAATAAAATAGTGTTATTGACCATAATAAACATGTATTGATCACACTCTAATTCAAGATAAAAAAAATCTAAATAGCTGGTAAAAAATAGACAAGAAGCTTATGTTTTGTCAATAAACTGATTCAGTAGGCAACTCATAAAAATGTTTCCACTGTTACACATACCAAGAATTCAAGTAACTGGTTTTGATTGGGAAAAAAAAGGATTCAAGTAACTGACCCTGGAATACTGGGAAAAGGCTTTGTTGTTGTATTGAAACATCACGATGAGCATGCGCATGCATATACGTGAGAGGAAAAAAATATGCAATTATCAAAGAAGTAGAACAAACCAAAAAAGAAGCAAAATGCTCTGAGGTCATCACTGCATTAAAACCAACGACGGGCACCAAGGCGGCAAGAAGAGTACCCAAGACAACCTGCATTTGCAGAGATGACGAATTAAGTAAGACTTATGGTTAAATCAACAAGTTAATTATTGTAGTGTCAATAAGGTATGGTAACAGAGTACAATTTTCATAAGTCCAAGCTGTGAATAGCCTCAAATACTTACAAGAGGGGCATATGCAATATATAATCGCGAAGAGTAGCGACCAGTTACAATACATAGGAGAACATGCATTGGAATAAGGTTAATGATGAACGTGTAGCCTCCCCAAGAGCACACCTGAAAGGAGAGAGAACATGAGAGATTATATGTTAGAAGTGAAAGCAACACACTATAGTCATCAGACACATTATATGATGCTCACCATGTAAAAGTATGCCAGAGCATTTAGGGTTGCATAAAAGAGTGATCCTGTGTTCAACGTCTGTACATAACAAACAATATCAAATCAAACCGATTACAGTTGAATATCACTGGAAATATAAGTACAAGTGACATCATTCTTGAGAATAAAGTACTGAAGAAAAGAGTACCCAAGGGAAGGAATAACATTCTGAGAACACATCCGAGCCAATTCTTACCTTTATATAAAGATAAAAGGTGAAGATCAAAGCAAAAATTGCTACAGCTTCATTATCATAGCTGCCAGCCACAGACCGTGAGATGTAGGAAGGTACCTGAAAACAGGCAAAGAAAGCACACGTTTATTTGGATTCATGTGGAAAACCACAAAGATCAAGAAATAAACAATAGCAGCAGTATTGCATTTTTTTGTTCCCAGACTCCCAGCACCTGAATGGGCAGCATCACCCACCCTAAGGCCTCATTATAATGAGACTGAACTCTCTAGGTAGTTTATTATGCAGATTTTAATGAAGGCCGCATGCAGTTATGATTGAAATTTTCTTGCTTCAAATAAAAAAACAGAAATCACATTCAGGTAATTTCTTAAATCATATACATAAACTGAACTAGAGGGTTCAAATGCAATATAAATGATGATTCCTTATGTAGGACTACAGGTTCTTGGATGGACAAATAGTCACACATCCAGTACTAACAAAAGAATCTCAAGCTATAGATGGTTCTCTCTTCAACAACAAAATCAACATCCTTTGGCCTTCAACAACAAAATCAACATCCTTTGGCCTTTCCTTTATTAAACTCTTAAGACTGCTAAATTTCCTACCTAGTTGGATCACATACAATACAAGTCGAATAAATAAAAGAAAATGCATGCAAACCAAACATCACGTGATTACACAGAGCAATCATCAACAATTAGAAGGACAACAAGAGAGAGATTGGGTTCTCCTACATGAAATGTAGGAACCTCCTTCATTATATATGTATCACATCAGATAACACATGCGTCCAACGTCCACCTATGCAGACACTTTCTAGACCAGATTTAAATCTGTTCTCTTTATTGTTCACTTAAAAAATGCGCATGTAAAGAAGAGTGCATTTTTATGAACCTATGATTACTAGTTATTCTCTTGTTTATTTTAAGCTCTGAGCTTTTCCTGTATATAGACGTCTGAAGCATATAAAACTAATCTTTCAATGTATGCATTTTATCAGACATATACATGTACAATCATGTATGCAGTCTGACTTTGGCAAATCTGGAGCTTGAAATTTGTATCAGAATACAAATAATGCTCTATAGGCCCACAAATTCAAGGCCGCAGAATATACAAGGCCCAAAATGGTTTATCTAATATGTATAGTGTGAACCCTTTGAGGTGTTGTACTTTATCATGTTCATCATTATACAACATTTTTAAATCTGACTAAATTCACTGCAGTACTTTACTGCAAGTGAATTTATGTAGATCAAATTGATATAGTCCATGTTAGCCAACATATTGGGGTGTCTAGCAGTAGAATAATTCAAATCAGATGCTAATTGTAATAAAGGCAAAACACTATAGCACTATTCTTAAACCTCTAATTTTGGTTCTGCAAAAATTTGATCATGAGTGTTTGTGTGCACATAGTGAGGCTGATCTATCCAGTTAAAAGTGTTAAACCTACAAAGACGTAAAGCCATGGCTGCAAACATATAGAATATATGGAAAGCAATATCTTCTGACCACCATCTGTGCGTTGTCATTAAGAACTCCATCCGAACAAAATGTGATACAGGAACATCCTTTCTTCGAGTATCAGTAAATAAAATACCAATCTTAGATAACCAATCAGTCAATTCTGGTTAGGATTTTCTTTGCACAGATATATAACTCAGTATATAATTACCATGGCTAAAAGAGCAGCTGCAGTTAATCCAGCACCTGTGCCCTTAACTTCCTACAAGAAACACATCGTACACATCAATAAAGAGCAGAGGCCTGGAATTCAAGGTAAGGTGCGCGATAAGATTTTTCAGAAAAAATACTTTTGTCAAGAGGTATGTGGCCCATGCTGCATTTGCTGAAAAGACGGGAGCGGTAAAAACACAGACTGTCTCCACAGATAAAGGAATATTCAGAGAATTAAGTATCCTGCACAAGGAGAATAAGAAACTCAATACCTCAAACATCATTAAGAATTGTAGGCTGATTGTATAGTTTCAAAAGAGTGACACATATTGAGAGCATACCACCACATAGTACCAGCAGTTAACGTCAGCCCAGGGTAAACAGTTCCACCAATCACACGGCCGAGAGGATACCTGGTAGCAGATAAGTAAGATAATCAACATGATGTTAAATGGTTAGAATTAAACCGTGAAAGAAGAATGTGCACTTGGATTTAGTACCAAGTTCGATCATCAAACCAGTTCCAGAAATCATATATTCCATACTTCGTCAGAAACTGAAACAGAAGTACAATCAAGTTAGAGGTTTATCTCTAACAATCACATAACACAATCTTTCTCCTTTTTTGAGCGTGAAACTAACTTCTCCATGGTTCAAACCTGAGAGCTCTCATATATGGCCTCTTTTTAAAAACACTAATAAACCCCTCTCAGATAGCAACAAAGAAAGTAGGAAGACATCTCTAATCAAGTGATAGATGCATAATGGTTATATTATAAATAATACTTACATCATTTGAAAATTTGACTTCACCCTCTGATTTTGTTAGTTGCAAGGTGAAGTACACAAATTAGTCTGCCTAGAAGAAGAAAATATGTTTAACAAATAAACTAAGCGTAAGAAGCACACTACAAAATTCTCCATTACATGACAAGCTCAAAAGCGTTAACTTTGTCAATAGCAGGAGGGATGGATTTGGAAAGAGATACTCAACACTATTTTCTATATTGTGCCTAAAAAGTCCATCTTTCGTTGCAAAATTAAAGGAATTGATCAGCAAGCGTCTCAAGCCTGACTATCATGAAAGAAACAACCAAATCAGAACCAGAATCACGCTAAAGCTAGGATCTTTAGACCGTAAATCATGAAACGAAAGGTTTTTGATATAAATTACGAAACCAATTAGAGCTAACGATAACAAAACAAAGGAGCATTATCAAACCTGGGTGACTCTGTAATTGAAGTACGGATCAAACTCGTGGATCACGCTCTCATACTTGATAACCTGCAAAAAAAATAATAATAATAATAAATAACGGAATGCAATCTCAGCCTCACCAAATTATAATAGATCAGATCTAGGGTTTCAAGGATCCGTCGACAGATCGATGAAGACCAAGGCACTCACAGAAAAGAGACGGATCGAGAAGGCTAGAACTCCGATGAGAAGAAGGATGAAGAATCCGAGAACTCCGCCAAAGGCGTTCCTTAGCGTGCCCGATCCTTTGATCTCAGTTGAGGCCGCCATTGCTGGCGGATCGAAGAAGCTCTTCGAGATCTTTGAAAATGAAGGAAGATGAACCTAGAAAGAAGACGGGAGACTTAAGCAGGGGTTTTGGGTTCGGGTCGCTGGTTCGGACCGCTAGCGCAGTGTTTGTGAATTTCACGTTGAAGCCCCTGGTTGGGATTATTTTTGCTGAAGGGATCTTGGCCTCGGATTCGATTCGGCGCGGAGCAGGGGGACAGCTGGGCGAATTCTATTGGTCCGATGACAATTCGCTGGCCAATCAAGAGATAGTTCAGGCATCGAGTCGGGCCTAGATAGGCTTTTTAGACGTCGGAATCCGAAGATGTTACTATCTTGAGAATGGTTGACACTGAATATCTTCAGGAGTGGCACTAGAGGCACACCATTGGACACAATCCCAACCACACCCCATCACCTGCTACAGTGCAGGGGGCCCCACATGGGATTTTTAAAAAAAAATCTCATGTGAGGCCCCCTGCACTGTAGCAGGTGAGGGGGTGTGGTTGGGATTGTGTCCAATAGTGTGCCTCTAGTATTTCTTTATATTCAGTTACGACTCTAGTGTTTCTTTATATTCAGTTACGATTTCTATTCGGTGTTTTAGGATTCCTTTATGCCCTTCCGGTGAAGAAGATATGTATCTCTCTGTTTTTAATAAAAGAGAAATGGTAACATCTTTTTATAAGGAGCCAAAGAGATTTGTTAAGATTAATAATAGTATCAAATGCTCCTTGAGAACACAAAAACGCATTTGGATCCATAAATGATTTATACTGATTTAATACTCACAGTAGGAATTGAGATTTAAGTCAAAATGATTCACCAACTTAACTTGTATCAAGCCCATACTAGGTTCCTACATTCAGTTGCATTTTGGCAGATACGTAATTACACAAGTCAAATTCCACAAACATAAATTCAACTGAAGAATAAAGTAAATTATATGCGGATACATAATCTTGATATGAAACAGATTACACATCTCATATAAAATTGCTCATGCAAACAAATATTCTCTTTAAGTTCTTCTACACTACTCGCAACACAACAAAATTTACAAGCTCTCACTGAATAAGCAAATTGTTTGCTTTTGAAGGTACATCCTACTCTCCATCATCTGAAACTTGCTGGTTACAGAAGGCTCATACAAACAGAAGTTTCCATAAAATACTTCAAGCTTCTTTGGCCAAGCACTAATGGTTTGAAGAAGACAGCTTTTTAGCCGTTGCATACTGCGTATTTTGATATGTAGTTGTACAATCCTGCAAGGATTTTCAAATCACATAGTGTAATGTGAACTATAATTAAAACAATAAAGACTTCTCAGAAAATCTTACCTCCAAGATAATGGATTATGGATTCAGGGTTCCTCGAGAATAGCACGGGCAAGATTCGTGGCCAGGGCCAATCTAACAGAGCCTATGGCTTTAGGTGGCAACTCAGTGTCGCAAAAATCTGGACGAAGCTTTGCTAGGGATAGCTCTTGCAGTTTATTCATGAGCAAATTTGTTTCAGACACACTCAACAGAGGCCGATCCTTCCAATTTAGCAATTTAACCTGGAAATGGCACAAAAGGAAGTTCAAAAAAATCCAGTCAGACCAACACTACTCTATATTTACAATGAAATCAGAAGTTTACATCTTTAGAGTATATTGATGTTCCAATCTGAGTGCTAATTTGCTCCTTAAGAAACTTAGGGCAAAGAAAATATTTTACATTTAACAAAAAGTGCATATTTTCAATCTTAACTGGATTCCTTCAATTTGTCACCTCAAATGTCACTAGTGTTTATGCAGTTCAGCTGCTGGAATAGGAAAGTTAAACTGTAGTCTCATATGCGAATAAACAAGTTGGACTTTTGATGGAACTTTGACAAAGTTATCCAATGAAAACAAAAAAAGATTTCAAGCTCTTTTGGGGGGGATAAAGTAAGTTATAATCAAGTTTCAGGTGAGTGGGCAATTATTTACAGCCTTTCGACATAAACTATTTAACTGCATATTAATTACATGTAAGATTCAGTTAAACTTATACTTAGTTTAAATCTTATTATTGAAGAAAATAAATGGAGCATCTAAAAAAATTCAAATAACATTAACCACTATGAAAAGAGGATATTGGGTATGAGTTGGTAGCTCATTTTGCAAAATGAGCTGTCAGCTCACTGCCATGTGAGCCCCACCCCAATGTGACTAGCCCGGGGGTGCTCACATGGTATTGAGCTGGCAGCCCATTTTGCAAAATGGGCTGTTAGCTCATATACATTTTTTCCTTATGAAAATCATTGAATGCTTCCATGATCACATGGTTTTTCGGGTGCTAGTCTTAAACTCTGAAGTAATCTCACACTTCCTACAGCACCCAATTGACCTACTCAGCTAACAGCAATGAACAACATCAACGAAGGAATAAATTCATTAATGAGTGTGACGAAGACTGCTGCAGTAAGACTTACAGAATCATGCAGAAGTGGAAGCCAAAATCTCTGTGGTGTTGAGGGACTTTTCATAAGCTGTAAATAAGCAAATTTCATTAACATCAACTGATCAACTCAAAGATTAGGCATCAAAACAAAAAAAACTACTCCTATAGTTCACTTTTAATGCCGGGTCATTCTTTTTTCACGCAGCAGCATTGCAGCAAAATAATAAAAACAGTCACATTTAAACATACAGAAGCATACGGAGTGAGGAAATAGTTGCTCAGAATATATACAGACATACTGTCCTCTAACCATAATAATAAAGCTAGAAACCCATGAATACTAATTCTGGGATGGATGGTATAAGAGATTATTAACTATTTGAATCATAATATGCCTCCTCCACCAACAATTATAGTAATGAACTAAGATGAAGAGATTCATCGTTAACATTTCAAAAGTTTGCCACTAAGTATAGACTTGCAAAACACAGACTTCATTGTGACCATCTAGGACTAATGAAATTCTAAAAACTTCGAAGATATGAAGAGCGGCATTGATAACTTTTGAGTCTCCTCCTGTCTAGTCTCCATCACTATGTGTTGGAAGCCAAGGAAGACCAAGCTAGACCTAATTCCACAGATAATTTATACAAAAGAAAAGGAATCTGAATTTTACATTCCCACATTTTGTGGCAACATCATTCAATCCTTAATTTCTCATATAAAGGTTTCTTACTTTGCTCACAATACCATTAATATTTCAATATGCAATCTATTATAGTGTTTGTTTAAATAAAATAACTACTCCATTACACTAATTATTAGTTCCTGCTGTGATCCCACGGACTAGATAAGATGAAAGGGGATGAATCGCTTCCCCAAATCTATATTGCTGAACTGGTCAACTTAATCTGAAATACTAAAGAGTAAGGCCTACATCTAGAAGGTACACAGCCATCAGCTAAAAGTATGATGTATGCTGACAATTTCGATAACCATGCCTACACTGAAGTGGAGAAAAACAGCAATTGAGCATGCCAATAAGAATACTAAAGTGGTTTAATTACAGTGCACAAAAGGCTGCATAAGAATCAGTAGATCCATGAGGACTTAAAGGTTAGCATCAACCAAAGATGAAGAAACACACGAGGAGTGGTTTGGACAGTTCAAATAGACGAGTTGACTACAAATTGATTGAATCAATTACAATCAGTGGTTTAGGATCAACGTAAGATGAAGAAACCCATTGGGAATGATTTTTACATGTACAAAAGAAATATGGTAAGTGCACCAGCTAGGAATAATTGATCATATATGAAGGTGCTTCTAGGAAGAGGAGAAACGGAAACTAAATTGATTCAGATTCTAAAGAATAAGGTAAGTGACTAATTCAACTGAGGAGCTGTCATAAATAGAGCTGTGTGGAGGGGGAGATATAATCAACCAAAAGAAGGATTGGCAAAAATTACTTGTTTGAGGTACATGAACATCCTGCTTAGCATAGTATTCTATAGCAATATTACATCGAGAAATGTTATTAAATTAAGCAAAGCTGAGAGCTGAAGTTCTGATTGCCAAAAGCGAGATACAACCAGATTAGTTCAACAGCCTTGGTTAAGCAACAGCAGAATATACGGCTGCCAGGAAAACATAATTACAAATATACAAAAGGTGAAGGGTGCACGTATTGGTTGATTTGATATACAGAGAGTATGCAAACCGTACTTGTATAAGTGATTCCACGGTCTGCCTAGCAACATCATTGGCCCTTCCATCTTGTACCTGCTGAAGAGATCTCTTAAAATCCCGATACCTGTTACAGATTTGTGAATTTCGGCCAGTCAAAAAATTATCCTTTAAATAGTCAATATCATGAATTAACCGCAAGACAGAAAAAAAGGCAAAATGCAATACTTGTGCAGAAACTCAAGACCTCCTGCACTGCCAACTTCAGAACCAAGCAATTCAATTAAACCTTCCCATTGCTGCAATATAAGAATCTCAATGATTTTAATATAAATTTGAGATGATTCTATGGAATGATAAAACAGTTTGAAGTAAGTAATCTTGTTTACAGTTCAACAGTTCAAACTTAGGTAACTGAAATGAGTAAAAAATTCCCAAACAGGTACAGGGAAAAAGGAAAACGAAAAAGAAAAAGAGCAGATGACCACCTTAAAACTGTCATCAGATACTGACTTTCCAATGCATTCAAACAATCGCTGAGCAATTTTATTAAGTCTAACTTCGTCCTGAGCTTGTTGAAGCCAGTAAACTCCAAACCCTTTCTTGCCATGCTTCCAGTTATACATGCCAGCAATCTGTTGAAAGATGTTTTACATTACAAGAAACTTCTGTTTACTAATAAACTGAGTTTCAAAAGAACTGGGATTCAAATCTTTGAATCTAACCCCTCTTAGGCAATATTTAAAGTAGAAGACAGAAATATACATAGCATTGCTAATAAAAAGTTAATGGATGCCTGAAAAGCTGAAGATACCTTCATGACCCTCGAACTAATGTCATCAAGTTCATACAGACGGCAAATCTCTAGGTTCTGTTCAAAAAGTACAGGAGGGGTTATCTCAAGACAGACATTTACAGAAATCAATAAGCATGACAAAAGACGGACAGAAATGCCTATGAGACCAAGTGCAATGGCAAGGCAACTCAAAAATTATTACATCCAATAGCAAGGCAAATTGAAAGGCAAATGAAAAAGTTGGAGAGAGAAAGACAATGGAAGGCAAATTTTGCCTTTGTGTTAAATTTCTTGTTGGGCCCCGCGTGTCATAAAGTTTTTACAATTATTCTCACCTTGTTTTTAAATGACTGTTTTGATCAATAATTACTCGAAATTAATTTTTTATTTTTTCACAACTATTTATTATTTTTCAAGATCTATTAATAGAGCTTGAGTTTGTGTTATTTGGACAAAGCAAATAAAACTTAATTTTTTACTTAATTATCATGATTGAGTGATGTGGAGGAAAGATAAAATGAAAAACTTTTTGAAAAATTAGTTGTTGTGGAATTGAAAGGCAATTGAAAAAGGCAAGTGATGTGGAGGGAGAATAAAGTGAGGTGGAAGGAGAGAGAAAGGCAATTTTTGCCTTGCCATTGAAGATGGTCTGAGAAACTTAAATCAAATCAAGTGGACAAACAAGTCTTAATCACCTTGAGAATCATTTGGAAATGTTGCACAGGCTGCCTGTAGAGTAAATTCTCTAACAAACCTAAACCTTGCTTTGGGCAGGAAGCTAAATACGTAGGGGCAATCTGGAAGAGAACATGATCAGTAAGACCACTGAATAATAATGGCTCACTATAATTCAATTTTCCTGCAAATAACTAAAACTCACTTGCCAAGTCAAAGGATGAGAAGACAAAACTTGAGCGTACACAAGACGATGCAGTTCGTCGATACTGATACCTCCTAAGTTATATCTCTCTTCATGCAGCAGAATATCAGCTTCATCATTCTCAGTGCTTAACAACTCTGTGGCATGTGTGACCAACCTAATTGGACAGTAACACATACTTCTTGTAAGAAGATTTCAAAATCAAATAAACTGCAGAGCCTAATTTTCATGGTGCAGGACAAGAAGGGATTTTAAAGCTCACCAGGGTCCAAATGTTCTAGAGCATTCTGCTAAAACAACCTAGAGAAGAAGGAAGAGTATTATACACACATTATAGCAAAGGCACAGTTTACACACATTGTCCAAGGAAATAATTCAGTTATAGGAATGTAAAAGAGCACCTCGGTATTATCTCCAAGAATACCAAGGAGGACCTCTGTAAGACCACTGGAATTGGCATTCGGCTTCAACTGCATACACTTTTGAGCCAAACTGTGCATTCCTTCTAAACTCTGAGAAAATAATTTATTCAAGGCGAACAAAACATTAATATAGATAAAGGTACAGAGGAACCGCAGTGGTCCCCTCGGACCGCCCATAATGGAAGATTCAGCAGTACATAAAATGTCAATAGGAAACAGGAGATTTTGCAGCCCTGATACAGTCAATTTAATTAACTTTTCATGGGCAGAAGTGAAGTAATGATAACTCTTCATGGGCAGAAGTGAAATAACAATAAAGCTTTTCTATATTAATGAGCATCCAATTAAAAAGAGAGAATATCTATCTTCCTGAGAGCGCTAACAGTTCAAAAATTAAGAAGTGATTTATCTATTTCATGAATCGGTCATGTTCTTCAAACTGTTGCATTTGAACAAAAAATTTATATTAATATCATAGAAAAATAATAACTAATAATTTTTTTAAAATAACTACAAAAATTTTCAATCACATCCATAACTTCTTTGAATTGAGTAACAATTGAGAAGTTAAAACTAACGAAAGAAGAAAAGAAAGAAGGCCCTTATCCAAAATTTATTAGGTAGGTTAATCATTTCTCTCCACTTAACTTTGTTAACAGTCACCTCCTTTCTTATTACTAGCTGGGATGTTCGCTATGACTTCCTTAATCAATGTTAGTTTTAGGTCTACTACTCTATTTCCTAGATCCAACTAGCAGGTGGACTTGGTCTTGTTGCACGTGTCCGACAATCTCGATTGACTTTCTCTAGTTTAGTTGGACTAAAAACTAAAAAGTTTATTGAACTCCCAAGATATTTAAGTTCAGACAAAATCTCCAAATTTAAAAATCAAGAAATTTAAAAATCAAGAAATTTAAAAGAATGAACTTAATTTTATAAAGTGCAACCAAATTTCAATAATAGGAACTTGTTAGACTTCCAAGGAATTTAAACTAACAAAAATAGCCCCATAAGTTCATAGCATGTGACAACGAAGAAGTCTAGAATGCCCCGACATAGTTGACACCATTGTTATCGAGGCGCAAGGCGCAATGCAGGGCGCAAAGGCCTCTTACGCGCACCATGCGCAATGAGCACAACGATGCGCGCGCCTCACTGAATTGAGGCGCACAACTCAAACTAATATTTTTTAACATAAGACAAAGAAGCATATAAGAAACATGTTTATAAATTGTCACATAAAAAGATCAAGAAATGTAATTTCACCAACTAAATCACGAGAGAGTCTTAATTAGCATGCATAACATAGAGAAGTTCATAAGTTTCCACAAATCACAATGCAAGATAATCTCCAACATAAGCAAAAATCTATGAAACAAAACAAGCAAGTAACAAGTAAGAAATATATATTTTCATTTAAAATATGATATATGTATTTTTAAGTAACAATTAAGTGATTAAAAAAACATAATTGTTCATAATTTGCTAGTTAGCATTCTTAATTGTTATTTTCTAATTAGCATAAAAAGATGAAGAATGGATGTAACAATTACATATTTACATGTTCATAATTTTCTAGTTAGCATGCTAATTAGAGAAGAAAGTTACAATTAGCAAACAAGTATACTAAATTACTAATTATTGTTTTCTTTTTATAGGTTAAACATGAAAAGATGGAAAATGTATTAGCAACTAGCAAGAAAAAGTCTATTACATGATGTAAATATGTAATATATAAATTATTTTAAAAAACAGAAGAAAGAGTATTACATGATGCAGGTGTCAAGCACGTGTGAGGCGCGCGCAAGGCGCACACGAGGCGCATGCAAGGCGCACACGAGGCGCATGCAAGGCGCGCGATTAGCAAACAAGTATACTAAATTACTAATTATTGTTTTCTTTTTATAGGTTAAACATGAAAAGATGGAAAATGGATTAGCAACTAGCAAGAAAAAGTCTATTACATGATGTAAATATGTAATATATAAATTATTTTAAAAAACAGAAGAAAGAGTCTATTACATGATGCAGGTGTCAAGCACGTGTAAGGCGCACGCGAGGCGCGCGCGAGGCGCACACGAGGCTCATGCAAGGCGCGCGCCTCGTGTGCGTGCAGCGCCCCGCCTCTGGTGCGGGGCACAATTGCCCCAGCCCACAGCGTCCCCTCTGGTGCGGGGCACAATTGCCCCAGCCCACAGCGTCCCGCGCCCGGGGCACGCCCGGAGTGCGCGCCTCGATAAAATGGTTGACACTTCAAAGTAGAGGTCAGAGTTTTACTAAAAATAACAGTCTAACTAATTACTACAATTATACTCAAAAGTTGTAAATGGAAACAACAGTACTCAAGATTGCTAAGAATAGGCTAATGTGATTCTACTTACTAAAAATAGCAAGGTTTTAAATGTCAGCCGACATATCGGTTTGAGGGCTTGACCAACACGACATGGATGTTTTCAACTCGTATGTCGGTTATCAGGGCCAAATCGGAAATATCAGGGTCATATCGAGCATATCGGCCTATTTTTTAACTTTGAAAAATCGACCGATATGGTACTTTTTTTAAGATCTGTTTTTTGTTATCGGGTTTGGTTTAGTGGTAAATACCCACACATGTTTGACTCGTTCTCATGTTTAAGGGTTTCTTATGAACCCGATAGAAAGAATTTATGAACCCAAATCCATATATTATTTACTTTTTTATATGTTTAATCTATAGAATTTATAAAGTATGCTTATATTAAATTTATGAATGCTTAGATTACATTTAGGACATGATATTATACATATGCGCACTACCCGATATGGCAATCCGATATTTAGTCAATGTCCCCCGATATATCCCCGATTTTTGCTATCCGACATGGACTTCAGCCATCCGACATTAACCCTACATCCGACATTTAAAACCTTGAAAAATAGTACAGTATAGCTTTAAGTATAGAATCCAAATTTTACGTGCTTTGTACTATTTAAACACTTAGCCAAATCATGCTTTGCATATCTAATAGTTTCATGATACATTAGCAACAATGAATTAGATGTTGGTAATGCATGCATCATAATCAATCATAACGATCTATGACCCATTAAAAAAAATCAACGAATAGGTATATTTTGAACCTTTTAAGAAGGTATCTAAAAAGTTTTTAAAATTCCCATCAAACAACTAGAGGGCATACTGAACTTTTAATAACGTATCTGTAGAAAAGAAAGGAAAAGAAACCTAAACCTCTACAAGAATAATATATATTACCGTAGTTATATGTTGTTATACATACTATGATTGTGAGTTGAAATTGCCAACGATGTGTAAGTTAATCTAGTGTCTTGTGTTTTTAAATGAAGTATCTATAAACAGCATAGTTTTAGAGATTTTTACACATGTTTATCCAGCTATGCATGAACCTTGTACTCAAATAGATCAAATGCTTCTTTCTATATTTGTACTCTCTTCCATTAGGATTTTTATCCCAACAAAGGCATGATGAACTTAGTTTTAGGGCCGTGTTCGCATATGTCCCTACAATTGACTTGGTTTAATGAATAACAAATCTTCATGTTGGTCTGATATGTATTTGAGATGTTGTATACAAGACAAGAAATAAGAATCAAGTTCGGATGTGAAAAGATCAAGAAGCAAGTATCAGCAAATCAACAAAATACTCATCGATGACTATTTATTCTCATTAATGAGCATAGGAGCAGATTCATTGATAAGCCTTCATATGCATTGATAAGAACGAGGCTGAGAGCAGACTTGATTACATCACTGAGTCACAAACTCATCGATGAGGATGGGAGCTCATCAATGAATCTGGGGCTATAATCATCGATAAGCCCACCCACTAATCGATGAGTGGCGGGCTGATTTCAGAAATCCTAATCTGATTTGGACTAAATTTGAACCATAGTTGTTGAGGCTATTTAAGGGCTTTTTCCTCCAATTTTATAAGAGGATTCCTGATCTAATTCACATAGTAAAAGAGAGAGAAAGAGCGAGATCTAGAGTTTCAACTTCGGTGATTATCCTTGCTCAGACTTCTCAATTTGCATCCTCGACGTTATTCTACATCATCCGATCATCAACCTTCAAAGAGTGCTACTCTTGAATTTCAAGATCAACAATGTTCTTCATTGAACTTCGCTTATATTCTTCAGAGAACTGTTTGCATAAACAAAGGGTTGTAAGATCTTTTTGCGATGCGCGTAATTGATACTTGTTCCATTTATTTTAAACTTGGTTTTACGGTGTAATCAAGCCCGTATGAACTGAGGGTTTACATTGTACTTAAGTCAGGGTTGGATTGAGGGATTGATCACTAGCTAGGGCTAGGATTGCTCATGGTGAAGAGCTTAAGCTAGATAACTAGTTTGATGTAACCTAGGGTTTCAGTCTTATAAGTCTAGTGAATTGGGTTTATGATTCATGATAACTTTTATCATAATAAGAAAGCCCCTTTGCGAGATTGAAAAATAGGTGTACGATTTTTTATCCAAACCACTATAAAATCTCATGTACTCTGATTGTGATTGTTTAGCTTACTATTTTACTATTACTGTTTATTACCACTGCATATTTTGTGTTTGTTCAAAAAATAGTAAGCAATCATTTTCACCTCCTTCTACACTTGCATCTAAGATCCTGACACTTAAGAACTGAACGTTACCTTAATCTTAATATTTATCGTCTAGTAAACTATGTGTGAAGGAAAACCAATTACATGAAACTGCAGAGTAAAAATATTTGTAAGATGACAATAACAACAACCTCTTGCTATTTTCCTTGAAAAATTCCTTACATTTTAATAAAATAATATCTTATCCCAGATCCTCTCTTTGGGTTCTTTACTTCTTTTATGTTATGGTAATTATTATGAAACCCTTTTAGTTTACCTAGTAATTATGAAACTCCCTGGCGTTATTTTTTTATTACAAAACCCCTACTGTTAAAAGAGCTACTAAAATGGGCATATACAAGGCATGAAAGTGAAATTTCCCCTCAAGTATATCTAAGTAATAGAGTTGTCTTCCTCATCAAATATTGTAAAATCCCTTATTTTCTCTCATCACGTCTAACGCAAGCAAATGATTGCTAATGAAAAGAAATCAAAAGATTAATCAATGTAATCATTTCAAAACCCTATGGTTTTCACATCTATTTGTGTTTTCAGTTTCTCACGTTGTGTCTTGTGTAGTAATGATTCTTGTTGGCTAGGTCTTTCTTCTCTTCCTAATTTTTTCTTTTGCATTAGATTTGCTACCTTTCTAGTTTTCTTCGTTATTTATGGGTGTATGTGTATGCGCAATATGAAGGAACTTGATACCAAGTAAAAAAAATTTGTGCTTGGTAGTAAGATTGCCCATTCACACCCACTCATTCAAATAGGGGACCACATTCACACGGGTTAGTGAGTGGACGGGAATGAGCCATCTCACTACCAAGCACAAAATTTGTGCTTGGTACCAAGTTCTTACATTTCTCTCTCTCTCTCTCTCTCTCNCACACGCGCGCGGGCACATATATATACTATGTTTTATGCACGTGCAATGTACGTGGTTAAATATCATGAGTAAATATTTTTAATTTATTTCCTTACTAAAATTTGTTCCCCGGTTCCACTTTGATCGTTTTTGCTCACTAATGCCTTTAAATTTTTAGCATTGTGATTATTTATTTTCTTTAATGTTTGTTTAAATGGGCTACACCAAGTTTAAATTTTTATGTTTATAATTAAATTGATAGGAAACAAATAAAATCTAAAGCCAATTTGAATTTTGACGTGATTTGCCGACATGAAACCAAGCTTGAAAGTATAATGTTGTAAATATAAAAAACACTTAAAAATAGTGTTATAAAAGAAAGATGAATAATTAAAGCTAAAAAAGCCAAGATGATTAATTAAAAGTGGGCTAAAATAAAGCTAAAGAGAATATGAAGTTTATTGCTAATTAATTGATAGACTTTAGAAAAAATCATTAACTAAAGATTAATGCTAACTTTAGTATATTTTATATGATAAAAGCATTCACATAACCATACAAAAATATTTAAAAGAGTTCATGAAAATCCTTTCTAAAGATTCATGGTTTTACTAAAAAATGAAGTTATTCTATAAAATAATCAAAAAAAATAACTTTTATTCTTTCTATTTTATTTTTTTATTGAGTTAAGATCAATCCTTCTTCACCTTTATCTTTTTCTTGAGCAATTCTAGAATTGTGTCTTCATCATCTATATTGATTGTGACATTAGGCTGGAGCTGGATTTCTTGTGTAATTATTTTTCCCTGAGCTCGTTCATGTTTTGTCTTCTCGTCTTACTTCACAAAGAAGTTGAATGCATTTTTGATGTTTAACAAAAATTCTAGAAATACAGACATTGATTGTTTTTGTGTTTCAATGAGACTAAATGTTAATTTCATATACGAAATGTTTGTGTTTCTAATTTATTTTTTTAAAAAGGTTGGGAGTTATCTCTTTTTTCTGTAATAAATTCTTCTGGAGTGCATCCAATAAGAGTTTCTGTAGCATTAAATAATATTACTTTTACTCTATGTGTCATTTTCCACAATGATCTGAACTAAATAAATATATTTTTTATTATCAAATTAGCTTAGATTATAATGTTAATATTTAATCTTGATATGTTTATTTCATGAAGAAAGGATATTACTCAACCTTGGTACTACTTTATTAGTAATTTGTATTGTATTTGTAAAGAGCCTTGATGGATATGCTTCTATATTAGCAGCTTGTTCTGAATAAGCCATGCGTATTAGCTTTAAAGTGTAATATTTTTTTTTATTGTGTTATATGTATGTTTGCTTGGTTTCTTTACCATTCTTTTATTTCTTTAATAAGTTGTATCTTTGTGTTGGTATATATTGTTAACACAATTTACAATAACATGCATATTTTCCCTATAAATTTGAGACAGATATAATGTGAATTTTATGTTTAGTGACATTTAATAAAAAATTTAGTAGTAAAATATGTTACTTTCATATTTAAAGATCTTGAAATCTAACAGTGTTATTATGTGCTTATCTTTAATCATGTCTTTAAAGATTAATTCTTTACTGGTAGTCATATCCCCAAATAAATTTACTTTCATAGTCATACCACATATAGGAAAAAGAAAAATATCAATTTTAATTTTTTTACTTATGCTATTGTAACTAATTATCATGTATATACTTTTTGTCCATTATAGTAATTTCTCTCATCTTATCTGGCTTATTATATCTCGCAACATAGTTGATCAATGACTTCACTTTAGTTTCTATTGTAAGATTATTTATATGTAATTTTATATTAAGTTTATGATTCATTTAGTATTTCAAGAATTAAGTATGAAAATTTATAAATACAAACTAATTTTCTTGTATCTTTCATGATGAATGCTTTTTAATTAGGACAAAATTGTTCAACATGTTCTTCAAGGAGGAACTCATCGATGCTCTTTGCTAGATATACCTTTTGTCAATGTCAGTTCAAGTGATTCAGAATTTTTTTTCCTATTTTGGGTTTATTTACTTCACTTCTCTACTTAAAAATAAAAACAAGATTTTTTTAAAGGTTATTTCTGAACTTTCTGATAGTTTTTTCATGCAAAATTCATTATATTCTTTTACTCTATAAATATTATTAACATCAGAGATGAATGTTTATACATTATAATCAATTAATGCTAACTTATTAACATCAGAGATGAATGTTTATACATTATAATCAATTAATGCTAACTTATTATATTATAGTCTTTTGTTAGTTTTATGCAATTTAGTCTTCTATCAATTAATGTTATTACTAATATTATATGTAGTTCCTTAAATTTATATAGTAATATTAATTTTTTAATCTGTCATATATTTTTTAAGTTTTTATTCCTTAACAGGATAGTTTTAATGTTTCGTAATTGTTATTTTTTACCAGCGTCAACTTAGACTACTTTTAGATGCTAAAAAGGGATGATAAATTTTAAATTGAAACTCAAATTTATATATCTTAATGAAATGATATCAAACATTTACTCTTTTCTTTGCCAAAATTTAGCCTTTTTTATTTTAAACTTTTGAGGGTGTGTTTTGTAATTTTTTTAACATTGATGTTATTTTTTTGAAAATTTTAAATTTTATGTTGGGTGCTTATAATTTTTATGTTTTATGAGATGGTGGTAAGTTTTTATATGTTAAGATGTTTCTTTCAACTCTGAAATTTTGAGCGTGTTTTTTACAATTACTAAAACTTTTGAGTTGTTTTTTGATAAATTCAAATTTTCAATGATCTGCTGATAATTTTTAGATTTAATGCTAACCAGTTATAAGTTTTGAAATTTCAGTGTTTTTGTGATTTTTAAATTTTGAGGGAGTTTTTATAGTTTATGTAACTTCAAGGTTATTTATTACAAATTTTAAGTTATTAAGTGCCTAATTGTAATCCCTGAAATCTATCTATGTTTGTTTGCAAGTTTTGAAGTCACTGAATTTAGGATGCTTTTTTCTAATTTGAATTTTTGAGGTTGTTTCTACAATTTTAGAAATATTGAGGGTATAATTACAATTTTTAAATTCCTCGGGGACTGTTTTTAATTTTTAGATTTCATGATGTTTTAAGTTTTGAAAAGTCAGGATGTTTTGGGTAATTTTAAACTTTTAAAGACATTTTGTGTAATTTTTGAATTAAATCTTAATCTTATTTTTTTTTAATTGCTGAGCTACAGGTAGTTCATGTGGGGTTAATATAGGATAAAATTAGTATTTAGATAAATTAAGATTTAAATAAAAAATTTAAAATAATATTTCACGTAATTTGTTAATCTTTTTTTAAAATTGTTGAGCTATAGATAGTTCCTGTGGGATTAGATAAGATATAATTAGAATTATAATAGATTAAAATTTAAATGTAATATTCAAAATAGTGAAGGATAATATTGACCATAGAAAGATTTTTCTTAACTCGTGCTTTTAAAGGGAATATATATATATATATATATACATGCACACACACATATACGTATGTGTGTGTATACATGTGTGTATGAATATGTATATCTATGAATATGAATATGTCCTCTGAAGACTCTAGAGTCACTGGCTAGGGTCGAGGACGACTATTCTGACGAATATGACGTAACTATGAAGAACGCTCTAGAAGGATGCATAAGAGGCGAAACAGAAAACCTTTGTATATCTTCTTCCTTCCATCACAAACACGTTTAGTACTAAAAAAGGTGTTTTGGTTGCCCTAAGAAGGAATCCTCCCTTGACACTCGTAGGTAGAGTTTCAGATCGATTCACGGTATTTGACTGGAAGACTACGTCCTTAAAGAAGACCACCTCTATGAGGCGAGATAGGCTAACTGTTGTGTGTATGTATACATATACATATACATACAAAATGAGCTACCAAGAGATGCAGATGTGATGAGGCCCACCCTAGTTGTATATCCTTTTTTTCTTGTGGAGTAATGATTCTCGTTGCCCTTGTGATCCAGTAGATCCATTGAAGTAAAAAATCTCTGTTGAGGATCTGAAGGTATTGTATAAACTGAAATGCGAGTAATCGGCAATATGTTAAGAGGAAGAAGAAGAGGGTATTTTCGTATTATAAAAAGGCATGTGAGTTTCACATGTTGTTTTAACTGAAACATAACAGATCGTTTAACAGTAGAGGGTTTTGTAATAAAAAAATAACATTCAAGGGGTTTTATAATAAGCGGGTAAACTTGAAGAGAGTTTCATAATAATTACCCTTCTGTTATGTTAATATGTATCTCAAGTATCTGAAGTTTTAGATACCAATATCATCATGGGTCCTTGCCAGTTGCATGATCATACCCAGTCAGCTACGGGAACATCGGTAAATGATATAATGGCAAGTTGACAACTCTTGGTAGAGGACATACGTTTAGCCCTCTAGAGAAAACTAATGCCAAATATGTGAAAGCTCAAAAAACAATTATTGAGCGCATAATATGTTGTCATACTGCTACTTGAATTGAGGTAAAACAAATGGTTTTACCAAGGAAGATCCTATGCAAGGGGAAAAGAAAGCAGACCTTATGTTAAGCACTTACCATAGTAAATGGTCTCATGTAGAGTAAGTGTGAGATACATAACTCCATCCAATGATAAGTTGCATTAGTAATATTTTTTATGTTCCCCAACATAATTTGTAACAAATTTTTCAATCCTTCCCGCGTCTGATGGTGGCCACACTGAACCCAAAATGTACTGAAATCTAGTTTAGCTATATGGCCACGCCATTTTTCCCATGCCTGGAAGTAATACAATAGGGTTAGAATTTTAAATATAAAATAGAAAGAAATTTTCAAATATATGAATGATACCTTGATAAAGTCGGACTTGGTTTTATAAGATTGGCCTAATTTTCCTGTGGGCAAGTCAGGACGCATGCGTGGCATTGTTGAGACTAGTACAGCAACTGCCTCAACCAACCCATTTTCTGTCTGCACAGACCATATGGAGTCAGCATAGTGTAAAGAATATAAAGAATTGCTATGCTACCTGAAATGTGTTTTGACGGCAAATCATGCAGTGGTGAAGGGCAAAAGTTGTTAGGAAAGAGAAGCTGGTTTTAATGGAATACTAGAACATTGTTGAAAAAACACGTTATGTAACTCGTTATGTTGCATTATGTAACCTAACAGGCCTAAAATGTTATGTAACCTTATGAAATAACTCAGACACACCATAACTCAATGTTATTACAATATAAATATGCAATATTTCAATATAACTTACATTGTTTAAATATAACATATGTTATTTCAATATAACTTACATTATTTCAATATAAGTTCAAGAGACCTGAGAGTATATCCTTTCTTAAAATACAATCTTCATAGTCTTAGGCTTCAAATACGGAACTAACCTCAAAACGGAAATAGGCACTAACTCATTAAAAAAAAAGTTCCTGACTACATATTGACAAACGGTAAAAAAACTAAGTAAAAGATACACTGAAGAGAAAGCAATAAACATTAAACATATCCTAGAATATTTAAGGAAGTTCTTTTCCAAAGAAATAAACATTTGGTATTTGATAATCATAGCACGAGAGCACAGAGCAAAATTACAAAAGACGACTCTGGATCAGACAACAGGTCAATAATGGAGCTCCGGAGCTCCCCTTCCATCAAAGTTGATTGTCCACATATCCATATAGAGTGTTTATTTCATCCTAAATCTAAACATTACAAGAAATTGTAGAGTTCATCTTCAAAATAAAATGTACTAGAAGCATTAGGTAGTATCCTAAAGATCTTAAACTGAACTTCTCATCATGGGGAAGAAACAGCAATTCAAAAATATTCCAAGATCCACACACTTTCATTTAAATATTTCTTCAGTTAAATACTCTACATGATTTCACTACAAAGTCCTAATTTTCACCGCCACAATATATACTTTCGCATAGTTCCTAGGAAATTGAATAGATCTGTGTTTTAGCTAGAGTTGCGTTGATGCTAAAATTATGAATATGTCTGAAGATAATGTTATGTCTAGCAAGGTCTGGTGTCAATCAGTAACCCAACCATTGAAAGAAAAAAATTGAAAACTTTTTTTAAACTAAAGTTCACACAAACCTCGCGACTGTCTATTTGATCTAGTTGATAGGATCCATGTAATCTCAAGAGTTTAACCTGCACAAGAAGAAGATCAGGTTTTATGGTAAAACAACAACAAAACAATCAATTTGCTAGTAATATAACAAAAGGATAAAAGCAAACTACTTAGTGCATAGATATCCGTCAAAAGCCCTTACCGCAATATCAAGCCAACCAACTGCAAGTGCTAGTGATATTCCTTCCCAATATTCTGGATCATCCTCAACTACCTGTGTAACAAAGAACAGCCAAATTGAATTATGGTAACGGCCCCACTGCACCATGGTAAATATAGTCATCATCATTATTATGATGCTGAAAATTTATTACCCGAATGCCATGAATGAGAGCATAATTTATATTGGACAGTTAAATTGGTTCCTTTAGAATCTAAGCATGTTCGCTTCAGAGGATGGTGCACACTTTATTAGTCTGCTGCATATTATATATAATATATTATTTATATATATATATATATATATTATGATCAGACTTATAAAGTCCTGCACCATCTCTGATCGACATGCTTAGATTCTCTCGCTCTCTCTCTCTCTCTCTCTCTCTCTCTCTCTCTATAATATAATATAAATATAATCATTATATATATTATATTTATATATATAATATATATAATATACACATACTATTATATATCTTACTATATATTTATACATACATATAAGTTCATTTGTATTGGAAATAACTAGAACGGGAGGAAGTACTTTTACAGAGTTAGCGAAGTTGCAAGGGAATAAAATGATTCACACCTGTAAATCGACCAGCTTCTTTTGCAGCCCTGCAAGCTTGGAGTGGATAGTTGTATCTGTCTTTGACAATAGGCCATCATAATCCTGGGGAAAAAACAAACAATTAACTTCAATTAATTAGGAGGATAATGGTTTAATTAACATGGGCATACCATCACCAGTGAAAAAAGAAGAGTAAGAAAGAAAGCTCATTACTGCTAACCAATCGACAAGATGCTCTGGGAGCCAAGCTGATGATAGCCTATCCACATAAAATATCTTCAACAACTGCCATGCAGCCTTCAAGCTAGTAGGTTTCTCAACCAACTGTAAATGAAGAGCTTTATCATTGCAATTTAAAAGGTCTCAAAATGAAGATAAAGAAAGCTAGGAATTGCCAACTATAATTTTAGAGAAGCTATTAAATAATTAAATAAAATATTAAGTAAAATACCTGCAAAACCATTCTGGGGTCTTCAATAACCGAGCCAGAAGGAAGCTTGGGTCTTCCAAGAAGGTCAGAGATTTGATTGCTGTACTCCAACACATGCTCCCACCTGCAAGCTCCTCATGATCAGAAGATAAACCAAAAATTTCATCAAAACGTAACATCGAATGCAGAAGCATGACATGTATTGTTCTTTCAGCTCTTATAATTGAACGTTTTCATGTATTGAATGTTTCTCTAATAATACCTACGTAACCTACCTACAGAAAGTAAAACAAAAGTCCATAGTTACTCATGCATACAACAGAATCCATAAACCCTACTATTTGTTGTCAATGGTCCAGTGCTTTTGTGATCATCCATTTGATATTATTGCGCTCTCATGAATTCAAATATGTCAAAGTCCCTCTAACCATTAGACCAAAACTTCAAAGTTGTGGCAAGGATTGAGAATTATACTTTTATATTCTAACATGCCCCTACAAGTTGAGCGCCCCTTTTTATGGGCTAAAACCTAGACTCATACATCAGTGCCTTTTTTTTAAATTTCCACATTTAATTCGTGGCCAGTGGGATTTGAACTTGAGTTGCTTTGATATCATGTCAAAGTCCCTCTAACCATTACACCAAAACTTCAAAGTTGTGGCGAGGATCAAGGATTATAGTTTTTATATTCAAACAAGACACTCAATTCAACAGCCACCATTTTTCCTTAACATATCATTTCATTTCATATATATTAGTCATAAGTTGTAACAGAATGCAAGTATTTCTCCAAATAGTACCAAATATCAAGGTATAAAGCTTTTAAAAGGAAATTTCAACCTTCAAGCAGCATGCATCGAACCATCTAGAAACAAAACATGTCAGCTTTCTCCCAGAACAAGACACCACTGATTTCGAAAAGAACAAAAAAGCACTTCCAAAAGACTATTAAGATGTTTGTTTCAAATCCCATGGGATTTGAAATCCATAGGTTTTTAACATGGGTTGGGATTTCTAAAATGTTGTTTGTTTCATCAATATTTTGGGATTTATAATCCTATAATTTGTATTTTGTTTGTTTCAAACTCAAATTGTAGCATTACAAATTTTAGAATTTGAAATCTAGCCCAAATCCTTTCTCAAAGAGGGGATTTCACAAATGCTATAATATATTAGTTTTGTATTATTTGGGTATTCAATATCCCAAAATTTATTTTGAATCAAACAAAGGTTATGGAATCCATAAACTCAAAAAAAAAACACTTTTTCATCCTAGAATTTGTAATCCACCCTATATCCCAAAAAAAAAGTTGAAACAAACGCCCCCTTACTAAGTTCATATTCCACATATCCAAATCGTACCAAATTCTGAGCCCTAAACTCTTCAAATCTCAAAATGCAGTCAAACACTGAACCATCAGCAAGCAAACATGTCATCTTGCTAAAAATTCCTCTCCTCACACAAACTTCATGCATTTCAAAATATTCCAGTAACATAAATTCCAAGCCTAGACAAAGTGACAACTAGCCCCCCGAAATAAAAGAACAAGACGAACTCACCACTCATTCCGAAAAGACGCTGCCGACATCCTCGCCATCGCCATCAGAGAATTCCTCCGGCTCTGAAGCAAAGCAAATGCCGGCACAGATCCATATGCGATCCTCCGCCTCTCCGCTTCGCCGATCTCGCCGTCGTCGGCGCCGCCGAGCTTCACCTCGACGACCTTTCCTCCGGCGAGTCCTTCGCCGGAGTCTCCGGCGGGGCGGAGGCAGGCGACATGGAGGAGGTTACCGCGAGACCAGTTGATGTGGATCCGAGAGATTGGGGGTTTGAGGTTGATTTGGATCGGGTAGATGATGGGAGTGGGTGGATTGGGGTCGAAGGGGACGATGGAGTTGTCGGGATCTGAAGCGAGGCCGGGCATTTTTGGGGAGGGGGAGGTGGGTTTAGGGTTTTTGGAGGGGAGGAAATGGAAATAGAATATATTTATGAAAGGAGAGAGTGGGGAGGGTGCAGCGCACGTGATTGGGGGGCCGTGACCTCGTTAGGCTGTCTAGTAAAATCCGAACTGGCTAGCAAAAAGAAGGCCGATTTACGCCGTTTTTACATTTGTCTGCAGGCTGTGTATCGCAACTAGGGGTGCTAAACCGTATCCGTATCCGATGAAATATCCGTAACCGTATCCGTTAGGATACGAATATGGTTACTCAAATCTATAACCGATAGGATATGGTTATGGATATGGTTTTGTAGTGAAATATCCATATCCGTATCCGAAATATCTGAATACATATTAGTCATACTCTTACGATAGTTTCGATTCTTAGATTATGGATTTGTGGTTAATTTTGATGATCAAGATGACTAATCTTAACTATTTAGTTATAATGGACATATTAACGAACTTTTTTGTATCACATGAACTATGTTTTTCTCAATACTATCTAGTTTTCTCATATCTGTTTTGTATCCGCATGCATATCCGCTTATATATCCGCATGTATATCCGTAACCGTATCCGATTTTAGCGGATATGGTTATAAGTTTTTCTTACCGAGGTATATCCGTATCCGTATCCGTATCCGAGATGGGTAAGCGGATATGGATATGGTAAGCATCATATCCGAGCCGTATCCGGACCGAATGCACCCCTAATCGCAACGCTTTAAACTTGTAACAAGGGGATCTGTCTCGGTTCAGTTTTGAACTCTTTTCAGATCACCCCCAATCTAATTTTTCATTGGTTGCCAAACAGAACCTCAAGAGTACAAAACTTTACAGTATTTTTCGTATCCTGATTACTTTTTCCCACTGAAATATGATGTTTTATGCTACAGAAAGACAAAATTACTCAATCATAAATATAGAAATCCCGGATAATCTCTATTTACGTGGGAAACTTCGATGTGTTTTAGGAGTGATGAACTCAATTTTTGGGTCCCTTTGTTGATCTTCCCGCTGCGGATCATACCATGTGCTTCGCTACACATGTAACAGAGGTTACAGACACTGGAGGTTGTTTCCTCCGGCGTGCCCTCCGATGCTCAAGTTGGTGACTTTTTTTAGTTAATCTGAAGAGAAAAACAGAGTATATTTTTATGGGTTTGAATCTATTCCCTTGGTGCGGAAGAAATCATTTATATTTGTAGAGGGATTACGGAGGCACGTTGGTAATTTCGACCGAGTGCATGCAATACCATTTCAGGTCTATTTCACGTGCCGACGATCAGTTGGCCAAGTCAACTTTGCACAATGAAAAGATTGTGGGTTATATGGCGTGTACGAGGTGCTTTGAAACTTAAAAGCTCTAGCGCACACAGTCATTACGACTAATGCTGCATTAAATGTCGATGGCGACTAGGCAACAAATTGCGAGCGTTAATAGAACATTCATTAAATGTCGTGTGACTTTTGAGGAATGCTTGTCAGGTCGAATGACTATTGGAGATGTACTATATCGGATCCGAATGGAGGATGTCTTTCATCTCGGAGCCATGCATCTTGACAAGATCCGAGTTGGCTACGCCTTTCGACTTGGATTTGAATCGCAAGTCAAGTCAGCTGACTCATTACTCAGGTTGTGTTTTATACATGCTTTAGGAGTTAGTCAGCGAATCAATACTTGACCACTCTTAATGGGCAGAGTCATTTCCAGGGTACAACAATCTCATTATAGATGAATAAAATAGTGGTGCAGAGGAAGAAGAAGAGATGGGATCAAAATGAGCATTTGAAAACTTAAAAAGCTTTGTTGGGATGAGTAATTATATTCAATCTAATCTAATCTAATACTATTATAAAAGCGACTTTGTATGTTAAAACATTTCTTCCCAAAATGTCATTTTAAACATATACATACATACATAAAATACATGCATCCATACATAAACCATAGTCATACATACATAACCCCCCAATTAAATGCATACTCATAATCCCCAAATAATTTTATTTTATTATGACTATGGTGTTTACACTTTTGTAACCTCCCATCATCATATTAATCTCTTTTATTAGTGTTAATTCATTTACCTCTTATCACAACTCACACTGACATTTATGGACAATAGAAAAACAAATACTTCGGAGGGTATAAGTGAGTATTTGAATAGACGTGTTTTCATGATTATTACAATCAAAACGTTTATGATAATAACATTTATAAACCCAACTAAATGCATACTACTATAAAAGTGGCTTGGTATGTTAAAACATTTCTTCCCAAAATGCTCTTTTAAATATATACATACATACATAAACCATAATCATACATACAAAACCCCCAATTAAATGCATACTCATAACCCTCAAATAATTTTATTTTATCATGACTATGTTGTTTACACTTTTGTAACCTCCCATCATCATATTAATCTCTTTCGTTAATGTTAATTCCTTTACCTCATATCACAACTCACACTGACATATATGAACAACAGAAAAACAAATGCTCCGGAGGGTATAAGTGAGTATTTGAATAGACGTGTTTTCATGATAATAACAATCAAAACGTTTCTGATAATAACATTTATAAATTATTATCAGACATTAATTTAGTAATAATGTTGGCATCATTATTAGCTGGAATGTAGTTTGACTTAACAATCAAAACGTATAAATGCAGCAGATATATACTTTTTTTATAGTGAGTATTTGAATATAGACTCAAAAAAATACTCATCTATCTTTTCATTAATGTTAATTTCATTACTTCATAATCATAATTATTTGGCAAGTCATTATTAGTATATAATTCGGTTATAAGTCAAATCTCATATAAATCTAATCCATACACAACTTCTATCTTACAAAATCTTACCAAATCCTACCAAAAAAATAAAAAACAAGAGGAGATGGAAGCAACACTATGTGATTCAAAAATGTTAGTAAAAGCATGTTTTTGTTTGTAAGGTAGTAGGATACTTTTTCACTATATTTCGGAAAAAGACACTCTTCATCACATTTGTTTGTATGCATATATTTTATTCTTTTTCGTGAAGGATGTCATCTGATCAAGATGGAATTAATTATCAAGCCCACATCCCGATTCGAGAGTTAAAAATTTATCAGAAACAATGGAGTATAAATGCTCGTGTCTTACGTAATACTATAGACTCCTTTAAGAGTGGAGAAGGGAAGAAGCAAAAGTCTCTCGAAGTTGTGTATTTAGAAGTATTATTACCTCAAAGGTAAATCACCTCATCAAAATCATGACTCATTATGTTTTCATTCTATGATGCACATTTTGTACAGCTTATCTTTCACACAATTATTATCTAACACGACATTCTAAGATGCATCGAAGATGTATAAAGTTGTTAACTATTTACAATGCAACATACTATCTTTGATCTCAAATGTGATTTCACTCTTTATGTAACATTTATAGTTAGGTTTGATCCTCGAGAAGTTGACGATGCCTGATCATGCTCAATTCAGTTTCATCTGCAGGTCATGGAATCTAGCTATTATAGATCAAATTGCCTTGCTACAACACGATTCCCCATGGCTCTCTACAGTTTAACAAAGATGCATCATTAGAATCTGATGATTGTTGCTCAAATTGAACTCCCTCCTGTCTATTTATGTCAAACTTAAAGAATATATGATTCTGCTACATTAAGTAGACATATAATTAAATATAATTTCGGTTACCTTATTTATTTTGTGGTTTTTTTCTGCCAATATCCTAATTTTTTATATGCGAAATGAGTATACTTTGTGATCCTATTATATCATCAATTAATAAAAGTGACAAATCATTTCTGAGAACAAGCATAAATTGCCAATTAAAAGATATTCAATCAAAACCTAATATATATTATCTATGACATCTTTCAAATAAATGTCACATAGAAAAAAAAGTATCAATGCAATGAAAACTATGGGGCTACGTATAAACATGAAAGTTTTACACGTGCAACACATGCACCATACTAGTTCAAGTAAATGTAGAATTGGATAAAAGAGATCACTACAAAGTATATACACTCATGGTGACTATGGAGACGTACAATTTTACTTTAGTTACAACTCATTTGCGTGAAAGTAGACAATTGAGTAAAAAAATGAAATTATTACAAAGAAGAAAATAAAGACGACAGGTCAGAATATATGTTCGATGATGACTATGGCGCCCTCCAAATCACTTAAGTTACAACTCACTCAAAAGACAAAACTAGCCTTCTTCTTCATCCTCAATACGCAAATTCTAACAAAAATGGCCACCACTCGGTCCGGTTCCTTTGAGGTGGAATTCTGACACACGAACTCTTTCGACGGTCCGTTGCGCAGTTGTCCAGCAGTCAGGCCCTGCAGCAAGCAACTGCAGCAATGTCTGATTTCAGAAGGAAGAATCTTTCACCAATTAACAATCTTGACATAAATAAAAATTGAACTTAAGCTATTAAAGTTAAGTTTCAATTGGTAAGAACTGCTACTAAAGTGAGTTTAAAATTGAGAAGCATCAGGCTAGAGGCATCTTTAACTATGTCCACCTTCATTATTAGGTTAATGAATAGACAAACATGAGAAAACTTACACTTGATTTCTTTAGATGTCACATTCAAAGATCCTCCGCTGTTCTGATTATTTCCGAGCCATCATCATTTCTTGAAATTGCACCTTTTTGGCAGTTCTAATATCAACTATACTCTGTGGCATGGGTTCAAGATGACCCTTTTCCTCAACCAAACCGGAAAACTCCTGCTTCGTGATACTTTTCTTCTCAACGAGTTGATCGACCAACGCATCCATTAGATCTCTATTACGCTGCAAAATCTGCATCATATAAAGAGAAATGATGACCTACGCAATCCCAATCCAAAATTCCAGACGAAATGGACAAGGGAAGAAAAAGATGTATACCGTTTTTGCTCTCTCATAGCAGTTATTAAGAACAGCCAGTGCCTCTGAATCGATGTCCTGACAAGAGAAAAGTGGGCA